TTAAAGACAATCTAATAGGTGAAGCAAAAGCCATGCATGCAAGCAAAGAAAATACGGGGTTCATTCACTACTTCCCATCGGCAGGCAGACGTTTAGCTATCTTCAGGAAAGCAGAGCTCTGTCACATGTAGTGGTTTCTTCAGAAGACCAACACCGTAACTCCGAATGTCCTCCACTTCTGCAGCTTTTATTGCTGACCACAACATCATATGGTATGGAATATCCCTTTTTTTCAGTTGAGGTCAGCTATCCTAGCTGTGTCCTCTCCCGACTTCTTGTGCACCCCCAGCCCGCTTGCTGGCAGGACAGCATGGGAAACAGAGAAGGCCTTGATGCTGTGCAAGCACTGTTTAGCAATATCTGAAACATCCCTATGTTATCAACACTGGTTTCATCACAAAGCCACAACACCATATGAGCTACTAGGAAGAAAATTAACTCTATCCCAGCCAAAACCAGTACACGTGCTCTCTGTTTTTTACTGCCAAGATTTCCCAAAATTTACTTATTTCTTATTCAAATCATGAAACCTCATGGAACCATTGCAGGTTTCCAGAAGAGCTTAGGCAAGCAGCTGTCTCAAGTGGCTGTCACAGGTGACACAAAGTAAACAGCAGCCCACCATGGATATGGCTGTTGGTGTCTGTTTAAGACCCATGCAGTTAGAGCTTTTACCTGCCTGATAATCTCACGCTTCCCTGCTCCCCCTGAGCATTACATTTGGTGATTTCTCTGCTGTCCTGGGAACCAGGGTTCAAAGTGCCATTGGTTCATGAGATGTGCCATTGCATGTGTGAAACTCAGGTGTTTTCAGTCAGGGTCATCCCCTAACATTTGTCTCCCCACGTCTCCTCCTTTTCTAAGATCTCCAATTCCAGGATCTTTCCTCCAGGGAGAATCTTCATCTTCTTTCTGGGCCTCAACACCACTCTAAGCTGACACATAACACGTATCAGTGTGCTAATTGATTGTTCTGTCTCATGTCTCTATTAATAGAAAGATTCAGGTTATGCCTCTTTTGTTTAGTCCAGGTGTTACCAAAATTTGCAATTAGCCCATACTTACTACAGTTACCAAGTAACGGCCTGCTTCTTGCGTATCATTGAAAATTCTATTTTTTAGAGCTGACACTAAAAGAAGGAAATAGCATAGACAATCTTATGACCCTTTAGATGCTTGGAGCTTTGGGCAGTATAACATCAAACAAGACTCTGACCCAGCATGCTGTGCAGACCTTGTCCATAGTGAAGATTCTCCCCTTTCAGTTTTTCGAGCTGTTACAGGATATTCTTACAAGGAAACAACTCTATCATTTCTACTGTCAAACAGAAACAATGTTCTCGTGAGAACTTGTTGCTGCACAGCTAGATAAAAAGCAAGGACATGCAGCTGGTGTAGTCGCTGATACTGAGCGGGAGCTGCCTGGAGCTCCTCTGTTGTGATGAGCTGGTGAGGTTGTGCCCTGGCCAAGGGATCTGTGTGCCACAGAAGTGCAGCGCAATGAAGCCCAGGCTTGGGGATCCTCAGGTTAACTGTATTGTGGATAACTGACTCCTCAATGTACAATGGTCTTCTGGTTAGGATCACAACAATTTAAGCTGTTTTTTGCCTACCACAGTGACTTAAGTGGAGATAGTCCAACTTTGGGTCGTTAGATGAACTCCTTGAGCTGGGAGTTGAACAAGGTGACTTCCAGAGGTCCCTTCCAACCTCACCATTCTGTGATTCTCTCACTGCCTGAACCTGTGAACTTCAGAAAATGCCACTGAGCCTGCTAAGTAGCTACCACGTTTCTTTTAGTTAAAGTTTTATTTCTATGTTTATGACAAAACACAATATCTCAGTAAAATCTAGGTCATCTCCCTACATCTACTTTTGCTCTTTTTTTTGAAAGTCAAATGCTGCAGAATAAGACAAAAGAGCAGTAGGATCTTTTCCTTGCCACTCCTAACACATCTTTATGAACAGTTCTAATGTTACAACACGGTAATACGAAGAATAACTTTTTTCCCCCTAAATCTTTTCTTTCATGCAACTCTTTTACCTATAGTAAGATAAAGACTAGTAAATACAGAAAGGCAAAAACACGTGAAAGAAAATCAGACCTGATTTGTTTGGTTTTGTTGTTTGTTTGGGTTTTTTCCTTTGAAATATGGCTTGAAATGTTAATGACAGGAAGGTAGGAATTTTCAGAAGGTAGAACAATCTAGAGATCTGCTAAAGCCATGGTGGCTTTTGCTGTATAACAGAACAATATTCAAGTGTCAGTAGCAGGAAAGAGTACAATCATTACAGTAACAATAACAGTAACAGTGGAAGAGGCAAAAAGTTTGTGTTAATGACCAGAAGAAAGAAATGGAGATTGTAAGGAAGGTGAACGAAAAAGCTGGGAACACGGTTTTATTTGGATTTAAATAAACAATTAAAATAGTTTTCAGCAGTATAAAATAGTTTGTGGAGCTGTTTGATTATATACGATGCATGGTGTTCACACATTCTTGAATTCATAAGGCAATGATTTATAATATTCTTCATACAGGAAAATCTAAAGAGATGAAACAACAATTAGGGAAGAAATAATAAAGGCATGAGAATTATGTGGTAATCCAGTCAAAACAATAATATATGTGGAAAAATATCAAGGATGATTTTAGTTGAATTTGCAACTTTAAGAATAGTAAATGGAATATGTCAAATAAAGAAAGGTTGAACATGTAGAGTATTTGAGTATACTGATGTAACTAAGGGAAACAGTTCTGTCTTTCACAGCTCAAGAATTTTTTAGAATGACAAAAAATCTATGACTTTTTAAGTTTTTTAAAAATTAAAATTACTGTGTTGCTAGGTAAAATAAAATAGACTGATCCCCATTTTTTTTTTTACTGCACTGTCTACTTTTAGACTAACCCAAGTAACCCCATGGTATGTTTTATAGTCTTTTCTGTATCGATAGACAGCGATTGTGTGGGACTTCTTTCTTTTACTTTGGAGATTTAATACATCCAGCTTTATTAGTATCTGCTTACTCAGACTAATGAACTGCAGAGCAGGCATACTCCATACCTTGAATTGTCAGTTCCCTAATTTATTTAGATCAAGGGGTCTGGCCAGAATACGCTACAAACATGTAGTCAGGGATTTTCTTATTTTGGAAACCAGAATACAGATATGATGCCATTCACCTGAGTCATGCTTTGGCATTGAGTTAAAAGCGGACAGGATGTGCTTTCTGGCCAGGAAACTGCCTTCCACAATTATCCAGAAGTAGTAACGATGTTGTAGGGGGATTGTCAAGTTTACTATAAGGTAAATGTAAAACACACAGGTGCTGTATTTTATACGCACTATATTTTTTTCCTGGTGTTTGTTTTTTTCCTGAAAACAACAGGTTTTTATCATTGCCACCAGGGTTTTCAAGACTTCTTATTCTGAAAACTGTTCCAGAAATTGATAGATCCAGTTGACGAGATCTAAGAGAAACTTACCTGTTTTATGGGCATAAGCTTAGTCAGGGGAGATTCAGGTTGGATGTTAGGAAGTATTTCTTCTCTGAAAGGGTTGTCAGCCACTGGAATAAGCTGCCCAGGGAGGTGGTTGAGTCTCCATCTCTGGATGTGTTTAAGAATAGGGTGGATGAGCTACTTGAGGATATGGTTTAATGGGGATTAGGGATGGTTGGACTCGATGATCTCTAAGGTCTTTTCCAACCTAGAAATCTATGAATCTATGAATCATTATTCTCAGATTACAATGATTCAGTTCTTCATTAACTCCTTATGAATATGTAATCTCTTTAGGAGATTAAATTATCTCCTTACACGAGAAGTCACAAGAGGTTTTACAACCATTCCCACTATTAAAGTACTATAGGCCTAGTTTTATCGTCAGCCATGGTCTATGTTTGGGGGTAGCCTGAACATTCCCATCTGTTTATGTACATAGTAATCGTGAACATTTACAAAGTGGGAGTTTTTTCGCAGATGTATGTCTTAAATTTTCCAGACTGTGTTTTCTTTCAGGATTTACCCATGAAAAAGTAAACTAAGCAATAGATATCTGCTTCTTTAATAGTGAAGCTCAGAACTGATAGGAAAATTTGAGGGTATCAAAAGGTACTAGTATCACATGGATAATTTTGTGGTTTTTTTCATTTTATAATCTTGAAATTTTACTGATCAAAATTATACAGTCCATTACTTCTACTGTTGAATAGATGTATTAATGTTCTCCAAATGTAACTGTTATGCAGCTCCACATGTTGTGTTTGGCAGCTAATTCAGATGATGTATATGTTTAGCTTCTCATGATGGAAATGAGATTTGTGATTCTTCTTTTTTTCTCTTCTTTTTTCCCAATAAATTCCTAGTTTTGTCCCATGTTTTTTCCCTTATATATAAATAAATCACATTTAGATTTTAAAGTCTGTTCAACTATTTATTTGCAGTTATCAGTTGCGGAGATCCAGGAGTCCCAGCCAACGGCATGAGATATGGTGATGATTATGTTGTTGGACAAAACGTTACTTATATGTGCCAACCTGGTTATACAATGGAATCAAATAGCTCCATAATCCGCACTTGTACTAGCAATGGCACATGGAGTGGAGTAATCCCAACATGCAAAGGTACAACATTTATTTTGATTGTCAACTATTTCTTCCATGACATTTATATCCACTGTTTATTGTAATGAGTCAGCCAAATATTTCCATAGAAATCAAAACTTACTGTTAGTATGAATACACTGAATTGATTTTTTTGGCTGCAGGAACTGTGACTTCATGCTTTTCCTTCCTTTCCCTTTCATTTTTAATAGCAGCACTGTATGTTGAACAGTTTTTTGTAGCTTTATAGAACATTTTATTACTTCACTGCTAAACTGAATTAGCCAATATGAAATGATGGTTTAGATTCGTTTGTATGTTTGTTAAGGTTAGCATGTCATACCAAAAAATAACCTTGTATATGTCCCTGTCTTTACAAAAAGACCACTCAGGCACATGATAAACACCTTTGGGAAAGATCTGCATATATACAACTGAACTTTGTCAAGGTCAAATTGTTCTGGGTTACCCTAACTGTAATACCAAGATTTTTCTCTGATCCCTCTTTCATTAGACGTGCACCTTTGAGCATCACTGTGCTGTATCAATATACTTAGCAAAAAGATTAAATCCTTCTAGCAGATTTCCTAAACATTGTTCTGCTTCATGTTATTTTCTCTGTTGTGAAAACTGAAAGGATTAATCTCAAGGTCTTCTTTTTCTCTCTTTTACTTATTGCATTCCTGATTTTTCTGTTTTATTGGAATTATTTTAATGTTCTCTGTTGAAATTTAAACAGAAAAAAAAATCTTAACGTTACTGAAAAAACACTTTATCTGTGTCATCAAAACGATTTTCTCTGAGAAACTCACTTGCTAAACCCTAAAGCATCTTCTTTCAGTATTATCACTTGAATGTTTTCTTTCAGGGTTCACATCAAGTTATGTCTGATCTCTATTCTTTTAAAACTTAGTTGGCTACACTTTTACTTGCTTTATTCTCATTCATCTTCCTTCTTTTATGTTTGCAGGAACTACAGTTACATATGTGCTCAGCAGTTCTCATTTTCCTCCCCTGAATTCATTCATTAAAAGAGATCAAATAAATAAATAACAAATCAAATAAGTTTCGAATCTCCACCCCATTTGCAATTACTTTCCTTGCTGAGTACAATTTTCCCAATATTTTCCCAAGTCCAGTTTAGTTCTAATTCACCTTTTATAATGTAATTTTTAGAGTTATTTTCCCGACACATTCTTGAGGATGTCAGACTTCAAGAGACTCTTAAGAATTCACTTTTTTTTCTATTTGTATTGTACTGTTAGCCAGCCTTAGCTTCAATTACAAAACTGATTTTAAGAACAGAACAACAGCCATAGTGGTCTTATTGACCAAGAGTCAGTCTGTCTCCAAGAGTGGCTGTAAGCAAAATGCTGGAAGATCATAAGACAGAACAAGTATTTATGATATATTCTCCCAGCCTGAAATTCTTAAGAACTACAGACCACCTAACTAAGAGCAGGAGATTTAACTCTGATTCACAGAGAACCTTACAAAGACAGAGTTAGACTGTCAATTTTGGCTTTGAGTTTTTGAGTCTTTCTGGTTTTAGGTCATACATATTTATGGTTTGTATAAATATTAAATAATAGTCATATGCAGAATCTCTAGTTTTCTCAGAATTTCATTCTACTCCACACAGGTTTGTGTGAGTGCACTAGGTAAGTTAATTACCTCTATTTCTTTGACTGTGTAGTTAGAAATAATATATAACATGCAGTAGTGTGTTTGAAATGTGTAACAACTAGTTCTTACTGTCAGGAGGAAGTGCAAGGGTCCGCCGGTACCATTTAGCTAAAATAATTGCAAATGAACTGAGCAGAAAAAAGATACGTAGTTGTCGCAGTGCCATTGAAAGAGAAGATATAAATAATTCTCTGCCTTTGCCTGGTTGGAAAAGGATGCGTGTTCATCTGCAAGTAAATGTTCAACTACTCAAGCATTGTCTTTTCTGCAGACTTTGTTCGTAATATACTTTCAGTTTTTAAAGTAAGAAATGTTGATGTATGTATTTATGGTTTAATCTGTGACCAAAATATTTAGAGAAGCACTCTGCCTTGTTGCTGGGTGTTTTATTTTGTTCTTTCACCCTAAAATTCTGATATTACACCTATTTTCATGCTACTTCTGTCTTCTTTCCAAATTATTGACCAGTATTTCTTCCTTTATTATTGAGCTCAGAAGTTAAAACATATAGATATTTTTAAAAGGACTAATCATGAAGCTCTTGAAGAATGCGGACAGCCTTTTTCTGCTTGGAGTACTTATTTTGACTTACTTTTATTAAAGTATCATGAAAGCGTGGCAAAAGCTATCATGTTCCTTTCCTGGATTGCTTTTTTGGTGGTATTTTTTTAAACTATGAACCAAAGCAAGAGAAACAAAGTATGAAAAATAAGGCCCTAAAATTTAGATTTGATCTACTGGTCAGAAAAGGATTATTTGATAATAGTACTACTTTCATCCAACATTCTCAAACCGCTATGAATGATGCTGCAGAGCATTTTGTGGGGTAAACAGTTGAGATTCTGTTACTGAAGCATATAAGAGTGGAGAAATGGTACATGGTGAACCTTCTGCAAATCACATTCACATACACAGTACTCCTGATCTACTGCCTCTGACTTTGACTCTGCAAGATGACAGCTGTCTAAACATAAGTTTAAAGGTTACAAGTGCAGCTTTTAATTTCCTATGTTCTTGAGACTTGTGCGTTCTCTGCTTTATTTTCAGTCACCACCTCTTCTCATTTACCCTGTTTCCACTAAATTTAATCATACTAGTTTCATTTGCTTTCTTTCTCTTTTGCTAGCACAGTTTCTCCCAACTTTTCTCATTATCACCCCTTTTCTCTTTTCTCTTTTTCTCATTCATTCTAGTAACTTTTACCTGTATTTTCCCCTTTCTCTTTTTGATTCAGACTTTTTTCATTTAACATCTTTTATACCCTTTTTCCTTCAGCTCTCAATTAGTAATTGTCTGTTACTACACCATTATCCAGTGAATAGCACTTTTATCTTCATCACGACAGTTATGTCTGTTAATTGTCTTCCTGTGGTGTTTTTCAGTCCTCTTTCCTACAACTGAGTAGATGTTTCTGTTTTTTTTTCTTCTGAGAGGCCTGGAAATGAGAAACTGTACTGAAATACTTCTTGTGGGCCTTCGTAGAGGTAGCAACACTGATAAATTTAAGAGGTTTCAAATCCTTAAATTTTCTCCCTCTAGCTAGAAGCTAGATACTTTTTGATGAGAAGCTATTCAAGAAGCAAATACTAGCCAAACTGTGGTACTTAGAAACAGGCTTTCAGATCATATTTTGGAGAATCATCCTGGAATTTCATCCCTATGCATTAATATCTAGCAAATGCCTGAGCAGGTTAACAGAAAGAAAGTATTCTACTATTACCATGAAGTTGTCTAAACAGACAAACAAAATAATTCTGTAGTATACTACCAGCCATATTTTAAATGTTGTACACTTCACAGTCTCCATGCTGATTTTTGGGTAGTTTTCCTAATTGTTTTGATGCAACATCCTGTTTTATTTAAAATACTTCTTCAATGAGCCACTGTGTCCTAAATGGAAGAAACCTGAAGTACTAACTTCAGGAAACGTGGCAAGAATACAGTGAGGAAGATAGCATGTCCTCACTGTATTGTCCTCTAAAAAGGTGAAATTAGTACATATGGTTCTTCTAGTGATTATGTACACTGGGGATATTTACAGCAGCTGGGCCTAATTATTTTGAATATTATTGCAGCTGTTACCTGCCCAACTCCTCCGCAGATTTCTAATGGAAGGTTGGAAGGAACAAACTTGGACTGGGGATTTAGCATTAGCTATGTCTGCTCTCCAGGATATGAGCTCTCTTTTCCTGCTGTTTTGACTTGTGTTGGAAATGGAACATGGAGTGGTGAAGTACCTCAGTGCTTGCGTATGTATTTACTTGATGGTCCTATATTTCTTTATTCAGCTATAGTGCTTTTTTTCCTCTTTAAAGTTTTCACCCTTTGTTTCTCCCTGCTCCCCACCCCACCAGCAGTGACTCAGTTCGTCTCAAATCTGGACAAATACAATCTTTCTATAGTTTCCAAAATTGTAACATAATTAATAGATTGAGAAAGACATAGTTATATCTGTAAATCCTTTGTGAGCATATATGAAGCCTCAAACATAAATACACAAAAAATATTACAGGCAATGCATATCAAATGATCCAAGGTAAAGCAGCATTAAGAGATGCTGTCTTGTTTTCAGATCCAGCTAGATACATAAAGAAGGACATTTCCTTATAATCTCTTTTATTTGCTCATTGCTCATCCTAAACTTTCTCTGATGTCACAGAGAGTTTTTTCTGTTGGTAATGTTCAATAGGTCCCAGGGTGATTCCTTGACAATTATCTATTTTTCCCCCTATGCTATATTAAGTTATAAGTTTTATGCAATAAACTTTGTTAACTTGAAAGTTATAAAATTGGTGGATTTTTATATTGCTACAAATTTCATTACGATGGTAAATGTGGCTTTTTCTTTACATTGAGGTCATTTCACTAATTTTTAAAAAATCTTTTAAGGAGGTGATCGTGATGCTTCTGAGAAATGTTTAATTGATTGTACTGAAGAAGGAAGTTCTGCAGTTATTTGTACAATAGCCATACCGCTGAAACTCTGTAATGGTCTTGAGCAAGGAGTCTAACTAGAAGACAATAATTTCATCTTCATGGCTTTACAGTTTCTGAAGTTTACTTTGAACTTGCTAAGTAGCTGACCTTGCCAGGTAGCTTGTTAAATGGTGCAAAATGCAATTCTCTATTCTTTCACTATTTATTGTGTACTTCATCTCTCCTTTTGAAAAACATTCTCTGTTTTGGCTATGCCCTACTACTATAAAAGCATATCATATAGGTGATCCTTTCTTTTCTCTTTTTTTCCTAATGATATTCTCATATAATCAACACCAGTTGCTTAGTGATGCTGAAACTGTGTGTGCCAGAGCTGGAACATGGTGAAAGGCATTGTTTCTGGAAGAAAAAAAAAAACACTATTTGTTGTTTAAGTTCTTTAGATGGACCTCTTCTAGAGTCCACTGTATTGTAAGAATCAAAGACTATGAAAAATTATTTTAATTGTCTGTTCTTGATTGAAATATCGTGTCCTTACATTCATTTTTGAATACTACAAGCTATTTGTCATCGTTGAGGTTGGAATACTCAATACTGCAATATGCTCTGAAATAAGAGATTCACCTTTAAACTTTTCAAAAGACATAGTTAGTACAGAATGCAGCTGCTTGGGAATTAAAGGCTGTTTCATGCAGAGATTGCATTAACTGAGTGTTGTTGATGTGCAATGGTTACCCATTGGCTTGCAAGAGAAATCAATTGGCAGCCAGTGCTTGTCAAAGAGCTCAAACTAGCAGCCATCTGGCAGGAATGAGAGGGAGCTGGTGAAAGTCATTCTCTGTGAGCAATCTTTAAGCAATTCTTGACATCAGAAATTTAGTTCCCAGCTTGGTTCCATAGACCCTGTAGCTGAAGATATGCAAGGTATGGAATATATATATTGGATATGTTATATATGGAATATATAACATGGAATAATTATTCAGAATGGAATATAGTCATACCTTTTTTTGAGTATTTGTCATCTATGGCCTGGTAAATTTGTCTGCTTAATTATTCATATAGTAATTTGAGTAAAGGACAGCTTTTTTATAAGCTTGGCAAGAGATGACAAAGAAAAAAAAAATCTATGTCTGAAAATTCCTAACTACAGATATAACTTCTTGTTAATCCATTAAATGTCTTTGAATAATGAGACTAGCCTCATAGCCTCAGTGCCAGAACTCCATGGCCCTGTCTCTGTTAAAGGTTCTCAGAGTCCTTAGGAAAATATTTCCATTGGGAGTGGGAGCACTCACAGAACTTCTACTTTGCTACAACTTTAGATTGTTCTATAGTCCTCCTGTTCCTATATCAGAGGAAAATTGCTGTGTTTTACCATGGTGCCTGATTTCCATGGTTACCTATACAGAAGGCAGATATTCAGTAGTAAAGTTGACTGACAACGTAGTTGTGGAATTTACTTAGTTTCATAAAAAACAAAACAAAACAAAACAAAACAAAAAAACAACTTAAAAAGCCCAAACAAAAAAAACTCAAACATTTTTTAATGTGAGGATTTTTTTTTTTTCCTTGAGAGTGGTTGCTACTTTGTTGGTACAAAGAATTGTTCAGGACACAATTTCAAGCCTCTTTGTAAAAATCTGTAAGTGTTATATGTATTTTCAAATTAAGGTTTCCACAGAATTTTCTAATGAAAACAAATTACAACCATGATCTGTCAATCAGACAATGAGATTCACTGTGTGGCACTACCCCCAATTCACAGATATTTTGAGAATTTGGCCTATAATTCTGTAGGCAGTCCTATTCCACTTCAACCCATGAAATTGTATACATTTCTGGTATGTATAGATTGAGCCCTTTTTCTTCAACAACATGTGTGTGCATGTATTTCCCATATAGTCAGTGTCTGCAGCAAGCGGTAGAGGGCAGGAGCATTTCATGGGAGTAGGTCCTTTGGAAAGCTTAAGGGATAGGTGAGAAAGATAGTGATATTAGAAATGTATTTAAATGTGGTTGTTTAAGAGATGTTATTTAAGTTTTGTTTGTAGAACAGAATGATGGAACAGAAAACTCCAGTGTCTGTACAACATGTCTTTTTAGAAATATGTCATTGCATGCATCTGGATTAGCGTTTTATTTTTTTGTGTGTATTACAACATTTTCTGTTTGATATTAAATTAGACTCTACAATATTGGAATTCATGGTGTGTCAAAGATAATATAGTCTGATAGCACAGGGTTTATCATAGCCGATTGCGTTTCCTGAATCAATTATTCAAAATACAGTTTCTGACAATAATCAGTACTTTATACTGCAGAAGACCAGTAAATTTGCCAGCAGTGCATTTACTTAGCTATGCTATGCTATAGACATAAGGAATATTTAGGATATAGGCATGAGTAAAAAGATCAATTTAAGAAATGTTCTTATCAGTCAAATTTATCCTGCTTAATAGCAGCTTATTAATGTTTGACTTTTAGATTGCTGCTGAAATGTCTTTACCGTTTTTTTGTTTTGGTTTGAGTTGGGATTTTTTGTTAGCTGTACTAACTTTCAAGTATTGTACTTCCATACATACCAAATCATGTCTTTCAGTGGAGGATGAAGAAGTAAGAATTTACAATTCCTAAAATCTGTCTGACAAATCCTTTAATCATACAAAAAATATAGAGCACTGATAGGTGGCAGAAAGCAGGAGAGGACAGTACAGTCTCTGATTGCTCTCTATAGGAGGATTTGCAGATTATTGTGTTTTGGGGCATAGGTGAATTGTGGATATTTGGACCTTAATAAAATAAGTTGTGTAACCTCGAGTGTGAATTTCAAGCTACTGACAAAACTCACTATGTAAGCATTTCGGATAGCTAGCAAAACTACTGCAAACTGAAGCAGACTAAAGATTGGCTATCATCTAGTATGTCTTTGAATGCCTATTAAATGTTTCTGTATTTGGCCTGTGTTTGATAATATAAAGATAAAAGTTAGAGTAACTGCTTGACTGTGTTTAGGTAAGAGTTATTTTTGTGTGTTTTCATAAATGACACATTCCATTTCTATCATGTCTTTTCTCACAGCAAAGTTTTGCGGTGACCCTGGAGTACCTGCTCAAGGGAAAAGAGAAGGCAAAAGCTTCATTTATCAATCAGAAGTCTCTTTCAGCTGCAATCCTCCTTTTATTTTGGTTGGCTCCAGCACCAGGATTTGCCAAGCAGATGGCACGTGGAGTGGTTCTTCTCCTCGATGTATAGGTAAGGTTGCACTCATATTATTGAAATTTCTTGAAATGCTTATTATTCCTTTTCCTGCTAAGCCAATCTAGAAGTTCTCAGCTATTTTGAATGATTCTGGTGTTGTTCTATACTCTCTAAAAATCAAGTCACTTTGGTTTTGTTTCTCTCATTGGCTTATTGAAAAAGCTTAATTTTGTGACACATTCATGTATTTATTTCATTAAAATACTGTAATTAGTTTTGTCTTTAATTTATTGTAATTTTTTTTTAAGAGCCTACTCGCACAGCGTGTGAAAATCCAGGTGTCCCAAGGCACGGGTCACAAAACAACACATTTGGCTATCAGGTAGAGTATACTGGTTTTTATTAACTTGCTTATTAAAATATTTTTATACTGTATCAAAGTCTAGAAACTTCTTATTAGAAGTTCAGAAACTGCTCATGCCTTGTAAGAGCTGGTTGCTGGAGTCTTGCTGTGTTTCCATATTTTAGCTGTTGGATTACATTGACCTTGTGTCCTTATTAGCAATGCACTATATGAAACTCTGGTGATCAAGTTCTGCTTAATTTCACCTTGAAGGAGTTAATTATCACCCCACCAATATATAAATGTTCTCTACTGTTCATCAAGTAAGCTTTTTCTCCTTAAAAGTGTGTATACTATGTGCCAAACTGCTAGTGTAGATATACCCTAAAAAAACAGTAGATTTTTTTTCCTGACAGCAATTCTGTTGTCACATTTGGAAATGATGTGAACACAAATGAATCACAGAGTCACAGAGGTTGGCAGGCGCCTCTGGAGAGCTTCTAGTTCAACCTCCCTTCTCAAAGCAAGGTCAGCTAGAGCAGGTTGATCAGAGCTGTGTTCAGGTGGTTTTAAATATTTCCGGGGATGGAGACTCCACAGCCTCTCTGGGAAACTTGTTCTAAGTTGATCATTCTTACAGTGAAAATGCTTTTTCTTATTTTTAAATAGAATTTTCTGTGTTTGAATTTGCACCTATTACCTCTTGTCCTGTCATTGGGCACCACCAAAAAATAGTGTCTCTGTCACCTTTCCTGCCCCCATTAAATTTTAATATACACTGATAAGATTTCCCTTGAGCCTTTTCTTTTGCAGGCTGGACAATCCCAGCTCTTTCAGCCACTCCTTGTATGGTGGATGCTCTAGTTCCTTAATCAACTTTGTGGCCCATCACTGGACTCAATGTAGTATGTCCTTGTCTTTCTTGCACTGGTGAGCACCTACTTGTGTCTCACCAGTGCTGATCAGAGGGGAAGAATCACCTCGCTTGACCTGCTGGCAATGCTCTGCCTGATGCAGCCCAGGAGGGTGTTAGCCACCTGTTCTACAGGGTGTGTTGTGGTAAATGGTGTTTGCATATGCTTCTGTTGGAAACAGAACTGTGAAATTGAAAATGCTTCTGAATTTCTGATTTTCTAAATCACACAATACAGTGATGCCAGTGGGATGTTTTCATGGGGAAATGGTATACAGGTGCAAAAACGTGCCCCATAATTTTCTAGGAATTTGATAAGGCAGTTGCAAAAAAAAACTAAGAAAGAGTCTGAACTATCCTGCTACAGCTGTTTCTGACTGTAAAAAAGGACTGAGCGGAAGAGTAAGCTAGCATCTCCCTGATTGTATGCAGTGCCTGTTAAATAAAGACTGCAGATTGACAGAAATGCGAGAAAGGGCTGATTGAAATTTGAACAGATTTACAACATGAAATTAGTTTTTAAAAGCAAAGGTTGTAGCTAAAGACTTTTCAAAGTTTCATGGCCAATAATGTATTTGGTTTGTCATGTTGGTGGCCCTTACACAGTACTTCTGCTTAGTGGTTGTTTTAGCAATCTTTGGGTCTTCAGATTGTGCTAGATCACAATCATACGTGAGTGGTAATATAATTGTCTTAGTTTTCTCCAGGGAATGGAGTGCTGTTTTGTGCCAAGATAGAAAATGCAGGGGCAGTCCTTGAACTAACTTTCTCTGGGTATGGTACAATATTATGCTAGAGGGCAAATCTTGATTCAGCTCTGTAAGAAATGAATCATTGCAATGACCATTTTCTACAACTTTATTGTCACAGTTTCTCTGGCATATTAATGAGTTATCTCTGAAGAAGCTAAAGCATAATCTCATTTGTGGTGTGGTTCTTGTAGTTGTGAATGAAAGCATCACTTACAGCTATCATGGAACTGTCAAAATACTAGGAAAAATGTCAACTGATAAATAATTTCTAAAAGAAGTGTGGCTGCTGGAAGCATTTACAGCCTTGATCTCACAGTTAGGAGGTTAGTGCCTAGCAGATTTAAACTGTATGAGCTACAGGCTCATTACCTAGCCAGCAGCTTATCCTCATGCTCATGTAGTGAATTTGGGTTTATATAGTAACCAAATGTCTGCGTGCAACTTCTGGTTACTCTAAACTTGATTACTTAGTTAATACAGAACAGAGTAGGAGTATCACTCGTATAGACGAAGCCAAGTTTAGCTCTTTACTGAGTGGAAACGACAGTGAAAATGATCAGTTCTAGACAAGTTATTGTCTGTAGATCCTGGAAAGAAATATTACATTACCATATATTCAACAATGTTGTGATTCATTTAAACCACAAGCATATTATAAATGAATTTGTATTATGCTGTAATTAACTTCCTGTAAGAATGGGGTAATAATGACTTTTACTTCCATCCATAGTAGAAAAGTAAAGAATAATTCTAGATTATACCAAATACTGAAGATGGCTTTGATTTTCTTTTGTCTGATAGATCTGCTCTCTACCATTTTAAACAATAAAGCAAAATGGCTTATGCAAAATTAAACAAAATGTTTTGCAGTTGGCAAACACGTAACAAGGAGTCATTACTGTTGAATATATAAGATGGTTTTCTGACTCTAACCCAGGGTGGGTTTTTTTTTCTCATATGGGGATTTGGTGATTTTTATTTTTTAATTTTTATTTTTATTTTTGTGGTTTGGTTTAGTTTGAGTTTTTTTAAACTTTCTTAAATACTTCAGATTTAAACTAATATCAATAGGGTCACTTAAGTGACTCAACTGTTAAGTTTTAAATTTATGTCTCTGTCTCATAAAAAAATCAAGCTGTAGCCTGACAGTAGAATTGAAGTCTTCATATGTAGAGTTTTGTTTTAAGTGCTTTTCAACAAATGACAATGCTTCCTCTTTTACCTGACTTACATCACTGGCTGTCACTTTCTTTTCACAATACTAATGTCAAGTTGTGAACTTCCACACTTTCTTATTGTTTCCTCTACTCTTGATTAACTCAATGATTGCATTGAAAGTTCAGGCATATCCAACATAATTCCAGGCTTGACTGAAAGGCATATCGAAACCTAACCTCCTGGAACTTTTGCTACTAAAAGCACAAATATCACCACCTCATATTTGAATGGTGTTTCAACTGTTAAATAGGAGCTTTGTAACAAAGAGGTAACAGGATTTTAGATGGATTTTATTGTTCAGTTCAATAGAATTGAGCAGGCAGAAGCAGATCAGGCTCTTGTGTGTTCAAATAACTTCAAAATACCAGTTTAGTGCTACTTGACTATCAGACATGGCATGTAAATGAGTAGCATCCACTGCTTTAATTGTTATGAATATGTGCTTAAGGGATGTTTACCTTTCATATGAGTATTTTTGATTTGACAGATCTACCTTAACAGTGTGTTACAATGAAGAGAAAATAGCTTTAGAACTTAGTGAATACTGACTTCATCTGTAACCTTGAAAATAAATTGCTCCTTGGAAAGAAACTATGGTTTTGAAACATTTATTCGAATGTATTGCTAGTAACACAGAAAATTGCTTATAGCACTTTCACCATAAGCTGTTGTAACACAAGATACTACTGAATTGAAAAAACAGTTTAGAACTGCTTAGACCAATCAGTCATATATGTGAGATTTGTTACTTCTCATACTTTTACAACATATGTTTTTTGTAGAAATTCGGCTATTTCCACCTATATTAAAGCCTGAAGGGAGCCAAAGGGCAGTCTGGATTTAGAAAGGAAAATAGGCACATAACAGTAGTGGTAGCCCTGTGTTAGCTCTTGGGTTCCATTTTACAAAATGCTGTATAAAACTTCATCTGCAGATGCAGAGCAGCTTTGCAAATAATCTTCTGTGAATGTAATGCTTATAAAAACTTCGGTGTTGACTGAATTGTAGGATGAAATTCCAAGAGAAGTGCTATACTACCACAGTATAGCTGTCTCCGTTCGCACAGTTGGTCTCATCACTGCATCAATGAAAATGTAATTTAAACCTTATCAGACACCACGTAATTTTCCTGGTTCCTTCTGCTTCTCAAGATCCTGAGGTCTGTGGCTTCAGCCTGATGTCAGTGGAGGATGTTAGTGTCAGAATCTGGAGAACTTCACTGGCAGGAATGTGATTTTGACCTTTTTTTTTCTTCTTTTTTTTTTTTTTTTTTTTTGTTCCCTGTCATTCTTGTTTCAACTGGGGTTATTTATAATGTTTCTAACACTTTCACACCACTGACTCTGTAGCTCTGCATTATATTTCATTCCGCTCTGTAAGGTACATTTCACCTGTGTTAGATACTTGTTCTTTTTGACCCCTGTGACATGATTCTGTCCAGGTCTGCGTTTCTTTAAGTGACCATGGATGAGTTGTTCACAGCAATGGGGTCTTTCCAGTGCCAAGCCTGTGTCACATCTCTTATCATGCCCACATCTGTAGTCTTCTTCACAGTATCCTGTCTTCATTTCTCAAGGTCTTTGCTGTCCTTCTAGTGGCAGGCTTGTATTTCTCCGTACTGCATCACATTAGTGATAAATATCTCATTCTGCACATAACAGCTTCTTGTAACTGCTGTGGACATAAAACTGTGGTTGTACTATAGAAAGCTAAAGGAAGACATGAAACTTAGTCACAGCCATCTGATCACAAGAAAATTTGATGTTACAGCTAAACCAAGTTTTTTAAAAAACAAACAAACAAACAAAACCAGAAAAAACTCCAGACATCTCAGGACACTTTCAGACAAAGGAAGCCTGGCAAGCATCTGCCCAGAGGTCTTGCAATCTGCATAGTCTGTTACTAGTAGTGGCAATACTGTATTACTGGACTACCAAACTACAGATACAGCAAAGACTAAATGAGTTGTGTTTTAATTCACTTAAATTATGATGCTGAAAGTAGGTGAAGAGAAATAACTTTTAGAGAAATGACATTCCTTTGACATGAATTGCTGGGAATGGAGAAGGTTAGAGTATCATGTTCTCTGGTAAACTGAAGTCTAAGAAGTAATTGAATGTAGAGTAACTCATTAAAGTTAGAAGTATCTTATATTCTTATAAACAATATAAGAAATTATAAGGATATTAATTTTATTATTTTTATAATTATTATATATTATTATAATATTATTTTGGTGAAAAAAGGTTTCTAGACTACTATCCTGTTCTTTGTAAATGGAGACAGGTTGATATTTATGGTTTTTCTTCTTGGATTGCTATTTCTCCTGTAAGTGAGTAGCAAATATATGGTCTTAGGTGCTTAGCAAAAGGAAAAGTTAATGGTCATGATTTGGGGAATATCCAAACCATAACTGACACTATGAAAAAAACAGCTATGGGACAGAGATGATCAATCAAGGAAATTTTTTTTTTTCCTTGATTGGAATGCAAACTTTACTGCACGTAAAGCAGTTCTTCCCTGAAACCAGAGAGTACAGTGAACAAAGATACTTCAGCTGTTTCCCCTGCTCTCTCCACTAGTGCTTCTATTCAAGCTGTATAAAAAAAATTCGAACAAATCAGAACATCTCGAGACTGCGAATTTGTTAAGACCTTGGAAGGCTGTATTATAGCGCCACCTGGTGCCCTTGGCACGAGAATATTGCAAAACAGACTTCCCGAAAAGTAGTTTTAAAATTACTTTTTATTGTTTTATTTTTAATAATTCCATATTGCGTTGAAGCTTTTATTTTTAGGAGCAGGGAGTCTCATGCCTTTATTTATTTGTTCATTGTCTTGAATAGCATGACAGCATTTCTGAAAACATCTTTTTCACTTGAGCAACTGTTGTATTTTTGATGCTACTTTTGGGGCTTACATGTATAAAGGTTGTGTTTCCCTAACAAGGATAATAGAGTGACTTTTTTTTTTTTTTGAGGAAATTAGGAAAATGGTTTCACTAGCAGTTACTGTTTTGGATAGAAAAGTTGGTATTGCAACAACTGGTTGCAATATCAACAATGGTTTGGTTTGAGTTTTGTTTGTTTGAGGTGTTGTTTTGTTTTTTTTTATTGGTGGTTTGTCTTTTTTACCTGTGGAATGTTGACAACTCAGCCTTTCCACTTACTTGGCAACTTGGGTGTTTCCATAGCTCACAGATATATTTACAGTAGTAAAGAACTGGTCTGATGTTTAGGCAAACAAGCTTCAGTGAAGCCAGAAAGTAGGCAGAGCTGCAGTGAAGATACACAGATGCTGGAAGAAGTTACTATGCATTTTTTGGTTCTGCTTCTCAGGTGAACAGTTCTCCTTCAAAATATCTGTTCAGCAGAAGACTCAGTTCATAAAGAAATAATCCAAAGTCATGAATAGGCAACTAAAGAAGAGAAGTTACAGAAAATTGAAATAACACACCTCCTTACACACCTCCTTCCTTTTTTCACTATTATCCATTGAGTCCTGTAGGTCTAAAGACTTTATGGCATTATTTTCCATCCCTTTCAATTTGCAAAGTATAATTCTTCTGTTTATGACATTCTTGATAAGTAGAATTGCAATATACTGAATTTTACTGAATATATTGAAGTAATGTTGGGCTTTATTTTTTTGATCTATTGAATTTTTATTCTTCTAAAGAGATTTTATAGAATGAAAAAATTATTTTAAACAATATCCTACTAAAAATTAGGTGAAAATTTCAAGATTGCAGTTATCCGATTAATTCAGTATTGCTCATATTTAAGTGGTGTTAATATATGAAAGATAATCACATCATGAGAACTGTTTAACGCTGAGAAGAAGATACTTCTTTTTTAAAAAAAGAGACTGTAGCGCTTACAATGTTAACTGAAAATAAATGAAGTAGTGTAACTAAGTAGTTAAAGCCATTCAGTAGCTACTTCTGGAGTTGGTATTGACTGCTAGAGTCTGAGTATCTAACTTAGTTACAGTTTAGAATTAAATATCTAAGTAGCCAATTAACCTCTACCTCATTGACTTCTGTGAGGTCCAGTACTTGACATCACAAAACAATTATGTTTTTTCTTAAATAAGATCATAGAGTGAACTTTGAAAGAACAAAAAAGAAAGAAAATCACGTTCCTATTCAGATGTATATTAAGAAACTACGTTTAATTGTTAAGCTGAGGTTTGGTTTTGGTTGGATATTGTCTTCCTTAATAGCTAAAGATTAAATAGTGCAGGTGTTCCTTCCATAGTTGTGAATGGAGTTTACTTCAATAGAGGCAGATTACTGAAATGAACAAATTTTTCATAAGACTGGTGCCTGTTGTAAAGTAATATATTTGTGATGGTTGTTTTAACTAAGCTCTTTTCAACAAAAAAAAAGGTACTTCTATTTGGTGCAATTTCTAAAAACTTCTAGCGTTTTCCTACTTTATGCTTAATCATGAAAGTGATTTAGTGTTTTTTCTTCAAAATCTTTTAAAAGTAATTACACAGTCCAGTGACCACAGTAAAGAGAAAAAAAAAAAAAATCACATACTGTGTTGATGAGCTACTATCTGTAGTTCATGGGTTATCATTAAATTTCATTCTGATAAGAAACTTAAGCTGAAATGGTATAGTACTATAAAGTTTCAAATGACTACTTGTAGCGGTGAAATGCTGTTTCCCAGGACTAAACTATTGTGAAAGACTCCACATTTTACCTTTGAGCATCAATTTGAATCAAATGTTATACTTTTAAATAAAATAATTTAAAAAAACCCCAAACAACCACAACAACAGAACCATAAATGTGCTGTCAAATACAGTTGAAAGTTTTCAACTTCTTTTTTAAACACAAGTTGATAAATACATTAATGCAGGTCACTGCAGAAGAGTAGATGTGATCTATGCACCTTAATATTTGAGTTAACCACTCACAACATGTGATAAACTACTCTCTGAATGATACACTTATAATCTAATTTCCCTGCCTTTGATGGAAAGTGAGAATTACTTGCATTTTCATGAATGTCACCATGACTGGACATGCTGAACAAGTTATTCCATGTTATATTTGTGCAGAAACTGTTATTGATTAAAGAATTCTATTTTCTTCTTTATGCAACACATACCCATAATTAGAATAATAATTAAAAACTAATCTCAGATGAAGTGCTCTTGTAAATTATAATGCACTTGCGTTACAGTTTCTGTTATCTGCATGATATAAAGAATGATTCTTTTTTTTACCTCATGTAATAAAAAGGCAAAATTAAAATATTATAGGAACATTGTAATTTCTAAAACATGAGACAGTGTCATTGACCTTGCCTTGCATGTTTTAATGAAATATTTCTCGTTGTAATTTGTGAATTCATCCAGCATTCCACAAAGGGGATCTAGTTCAACAAAGGTCCAGCAGAATCTATCACCCATTTCAGCTCTGCAACTTCCCTGGTTTTCTGCAAGATTACCTAACTGGCTTCTCCTTGGTCCAGAGGTAGGAAGCCACAGTAAGCTTGGTTTCCAAACTCACAGTGCCTCAACTGCTCCAGGCTCGAGGCAACATACCAGAGACCACAGAAGACGAGGTTTCGATTATTTTCTATGGAGGATTTCAGTTTGCAGGGAGAGTAATTTTAATGAGAATGAAGCAAATTTTTATTTCATATCAAAATGCTCTGTGAAATTAATTTACTTTCTACAGAAAGCACATCACAATTTATCAAACCTGTACTATGGGAAGGAGTTTACTACCAAATTTTGAAAAAAAAAAGCAACCAACTGATATTCCCTCATAACATTATTACTGTATTTCCTACTTTTCAACAGGTGGGAAATGTTGTACAATTTCAGTGTAAAAAAGGACACCTTCTCCATGGCTCAACAACACGAACTTGCCTTCCTGATCTTACATGGAGTGGAATCCAGCCAGAATGTATACGTAAGTAAATGACAGATTTTGAATCTATCAATTTCTTTGTGTAGGCTATTTTGTTACAGTAACATTGTTGTAAAGTTAACTTAATTTGTACAATTTTATTAACTTAAAGTTAATACAAATTTGCATTACTAGCTTACAGCAGCTAGAAGTATGATTTTATGAGTGAATTTTTCTACAATAGCCTATAGAATTAAAAAAAAAAAAAACATCAAAAAAATAATGAGAATAACAGACAGTTGTTCATCCAGAGAGGTGCTGGAAATGGTAAGTTTCTATCTAAGAGGGTGCAACCCTTCCATTGAAGAGATTGAAAGAGCTGGGAGGAGGTGGTGAGAACAGGATGTATAGGAAAGCCCTGCACAACCCTAACTTGTACTGGAACAGATAGTTAAAATCAAATCTAGTAAAGAGTTTGATCTGTTTCCTAACAAAGGAGTCAGGGTATTTTAAGAAGGAGAAAAATGTCTTGTAATTGGAAATTTTTGAATCTGAAATGGAGAGAATCTTCTTACTTAGGTACAGGAAGTAGCATTTCACTTCTTAGATATTTTACACTTCGGTAAATAGTGTTAATTTGCTGAAGGTATAACATCATGGTTAATCTATCTAGTTTTTCAGCTAGCCATCTGTATTTTTTCTGGAAATAATCTCACCTTATAAGGTCTGACCTTATAAAATCACTTCACTGTATGGAGAGCATATCCACAGAAGAAAACAGCATTAGTGTTTCAGTTGGTGCTAGCATTCCCACTAAGCAAACAGCAAATCAGTAGTTCAGCTCTGCTCTTGGAAATATGCTGGTTTTAACACAAGACTCTCAGATTCTGGTGATTGTTAAGGATATAAAACACTTTGCATGAGATTAGAAATGGTAATTAACTTTTCTACCTGATATTTAAAATTTACCTCACCTATTATTTATCCTTGACCTTTGATAGTGTTTTCCAAATGACTCATTTATTTATATTTACTGTTATTCAATGCTACACAGAAATCATAAGTCATGTAAGTCAAAAGCTGTGTAGTAAGATGTGTACTGTTTGTATTCGCATATGCAGACAATTAATTTTGCTTGTGCAAGTGCATTTAAGTTGATTCTTGGTCCCTTGAAATTGAAAGGTCCATTTTCAAGAGTGTATTTCCAGGCTCAGGACAATAATTTACAGACTATGTAGCAATTTTTAATGTGAATTAAAAGTATATTAATATGTTATATTTATTGTTGCTTTTTTCTTCATTAGTTACTTGTTAAAATAGATATAGATTATTTTTTCAGAAATATTTTCGTCATTTTGACTGAAGGATATTTTGTCATTTCTTTGTAGCTCACAGCTGTAAACAACCAGAAACACCAACTCATGCTAATGTTGCAGGAATGGATCTTCCCTCTCTTGGTTATACATTGATTTATACTTGTCAGTCAGGCTTCTTCTTGGCAGGAGGATCAGAGCATAGAGCCTGTAGATCTGATGGCACATGGACTGGGAAAGTTCCAGTCTGTGAAGGTAAGCTCTTCAGTTTCCCACTGCACCTCTCATCTATCATATTTCAGTGATTTTCTTTACTTGTAGTCTAATAAGATAAGGTAGAATGGCAAGAAGAACTAGGAGGGAGGACATCTAACAGGATCATTCTGATCTTTTGTCAGTTGTGTTTAATGGGACATATGCTTTCATGTACTTGTCTTTCATTTGCTTGCTCAGAGGTGTCAATTCCAGATATAATTCTAGAGACCAAATACTTGGGTAACACCTGCTTTTAGATTTCTGACTGAGTCAGGTGTGGACTGTGTTTTCGTAAGCTCAGTGGAGTAAGAATCTCAATGTTTTTGCATGTACCTATTAAACTTAGATCAGGATAATTTTATTTACAGAAATTGAGTACACTGCAAGACAGCTATGACAGTTACAATACTACTATGATATAGCTGCCATTGCTTGCGGAAGCACGGTGGGATGACTTGCAAAGGTGGAGTGCTGCAATGGATGGATATAAACTCTTCAGAAGACATAGGCAAGGAAGGAGAAGCAATGGGGTAGCCCTGTATCTTTGGGAGTGGTTTGACTGTCTAGAACTTGATGCTGGTAATGATAGAGCTGAGTGTTTATGGGTAAGAATCAAGGGGAAGGCCAATAAAGCAGATATCATGGTGGGAGTCTATTATAGACCACTCAATCAAGATGAAGAGACAGAGAATATATTCTATAAGCAGTGAGAGAAGTCTCACAATCACTAGCCCTTGTTCTCATGGGGGACTTCAACTTGCCTAATGACTGCTGGAAATACAATATAGTGGAGAGGAAACAGCCTAGGAGGTTCCTGGAGTGTGTGGAAAATGACTTCCTGACACAGCTGGTGAGTGAGCCAACTAGGAAAGGCACCTCGCTGGGCTTGTTGTTTGCAAACAGAGAAGGACTTGTGGGTGATGTGATGGTTGGAGGCCACCTTGGGCATAGCAATCACAAAATTGTAGTTTTTTATTCTCAGAGAAGTAAGGAGGGACGTTAACAGAACTGCTGCCTTGGGTTTCTGGAAGGCAAATGGGCCTGTTTAGGGGCCTGGTTGACAGAGTCCCTTGGGAGGCAGTTCTGAAGGGTAAAGGAGTCCGGGAAAGCTGGACATTCCTCAAGAAGGAAATCTTAAAGGCGCAGCAGCAGGACATACCCATTTCCCGAAAGGCAAACTGGTGGGGAAGAAGACTGGCCTGGCTGAACAGAGAGCTTTAACTGGAACTCACGAACAAAAAGAGAGTTTATGACCATTGGAAGAAAGCAGGAAATTCAGGAAGACTATGAGGATGTCATGAGGTTATGCAGGGAGAAAATTAGAAGGGCCAAAGCCCAACTAGAACTTAATATGACTACTGCAGTAATAGACGATTAAAAATGTTTCTCTAAATACATTAGCAACAAAAGGAGAGCTAAGGAGAATCTCCATCCTTTATTTGATGCCAGGTAGTGACAAAGGATAAGGAAAGGGCTGAGGTATCTTAATGCCTTCTTTACCTCAGTCTTTAATGGTAAGACTAGTTGTTCTTGGGGTACCCAGCCACCTAAGCTGGAAGAGAGGAACAGGGAGCAGAATGAAGCCTCCATAATGCAAGGGGAAATGGTTAAGACCTGCTACACAAATTAGACACACACAAGTCTCTGGGGTGAGATGGGGTCCACCCAAGGATACTGAGGAGTGGCAGAAGTGGCATCAAGCCACTTTCCATCATTTATCAGCAGTCCTGCTTAGCTGGGGAGATCCCAGTTGACTGGAGGTTCAAAAATATGACACCCTTCTACAAGAAGGGTCAGAAGGAGGACCCAGGGAGCTACAGGCTTGTCAGTCTGACCTGGGTGCTGGGGAAGGTTATAGAGCAGATCGTCTTGAGTGCCAGCACATGGCACACACAGGACAATCAGGTGATCAGGCCCAGTCAGTAAGGGTTTATGAAAGGCAGATCCTGCTTAACTAACCAGATTTCCTTCTATGACAAGATGATCCACTTAGTGGATGAAGGAAAGGCTGTGGATGTTGTCTACCTAGACATTAGTAAAGCCTTTGACACCCTTTCCAACAGCATTCTCCTGGAGAAACTGGCTACTTACGACTTGGATGGGTGTACTCTTTGCTGGGTAAAAAACTGTCACGATGGCCAGGCCCAAAGAGTTGTGGTTATAGAGTTATAATAGTTGTGGTTATATTGTGAAATAGAGTTAAACCCAGTTGGTGATCGGACACAAGTGGTGTTGCCCACGGTTCAGTTCTGAGGCCAGTTCTGTTTAATATCTTTTTCAATGATCTAGACACAGGAATAGAGTGCACGTGCAGTAAGGTTGCAGACGTTACCAAGTTGGTCAGTAGTGCTGATCTGCTTGAGAGCAGTAAGGCTGTACAGAGGGACCTGAACAGATTGGATTGATGGTCTGAGGCCAGTTGTATGATGTGGAACCAGGCTAAGAGCCAGGTCCTGGACTCGTGTCACAACAATCCCATGCAATGTTACAGGCTTGGGGAAGAGTGGCTGGAAAGCTGCCTGGCAGAAAAAGGACCTGGGGGTGTTGGTCTACAGTTGGTTAAACATGAGCTGGCAGTGCACCCAGGTGGCCAAGAAGGCCAATAGCATCCTGGCTTGTATCAGAAATAGTGTGGCCAGCAGGACTAGGGAAGTGATTATCCCCCTGTACTGGGCAGTGGTGAGGCCACACCTTGAATATTGTGTTCAGTTTTGGGCCCCTTGCTACAAGAAAGATGTTGAGGTGCTGGAGCACATGGAAAGAAGAGTAACGAAGCTGGTCTAGAGCACAAATCTTATGAGGAGCAGTTGAGGGAACTGGGACTGTTTAGTCTAGAGAAAAGGAGGCTGAGGGGAGATCTTACCACTTTCCACAATTACCTACAAGGAGGCTGTAGTGAGGTGGATTTCAGTCTTTTCTCCCAAGTAACAAGTGACAGGATGAGAAGAAGTTGCCTCAGGTTGTGCCAGGGGAAATTTAGATTGGACATTAGGAGAAATTTCTTCACTGAAAAAGGTTGTCAAGCATTGGAACAGGCTGCCCAGGGAAGTGGTCGAGTCACCATCCCTGGAGATTTTTAAAGACATGTAGATGTGGTGCTTAGGGACATGATTTAGTGGTGGACTTCATAGTGTTAGGTTAACAGTGGGACATGATGCATATTCAAGGTCTTTTCAAACCTAAATAGTTCTATGATTCTAAGATTCTTTTCTAATATTGGAAAACGATATCTGAAGCTCAAGGAGATGTCTGACTCATTGCATGGAATTAATCCATAGGGTTTAATATTATATTTATATTTATATGTAAGCAACAATATACTACTTGCTAAAAAAGTGTGTCTTTCTACTTTGTCCTTGATGTTCCAATATTTTATTTAATTTCTAGTTTTACTATGTAATTTGTCATGGAAGGGCATGAAAATCCTAATGGCAACATTCTGGTGAGAATGATGTTTTACATGTGAGATAAGAAATATCTTCAAGTGTAGCAACTCTTTGGAATTCTATTTTCTGAATAATTAAAGCACCTTTCAGATTACTGATACCGAATATTTCAGAGGTGGTTATCCCCAGGGCTCTTACAGAGGCATTCAAAGACTATGTAGTCAAACATTGCTACTTGGAAGGGAAACAGGAAATGAATATTTTGTATTACTAAGAAACAGGTGTCCTGGCATTACACGCCAGGCAAATGCTGCGGGAAAACAAAGCACAGCTTTGGGAAAATGTTACAAACCAAGCTGCCAGTAAGCTTATGACTTGTTCAGTACTCAGGAAGTGTTATGGCAGGCCAAATGTGATTCATGGGTTGTATTCTGATCCAAGAATTTTCTGCTGATGGTATCGAAACAAGTAGTGTTATCTGTCCTATCTGATAGTAAAGAATCTTTATGAGAAATTTTTTTAAAGCATTAAATGGTAACTATGAGTGTATCTACTTAGTTTCCCGTTGTCCTGGGAATAGGTTACAGAAATGGAAATTTTTTAGGATCAGAGGTCTTGCTTCTTGCTTTTTAACAATAGAGAAATCTAAAAATGAGTAATGTATTCTAAAGTATTAACTCTAATTGGATAAAGTAAAATATCTCTTAAATAGTTTCAATTTTGCCTATTACAAAGGGGCGAAATATCTCTCTCCTATGAAAAGGAGAAAAGCACCAGGTCAGGTTGTTCACCTTTGACTGTGAACTTCACAAAAATAACTTGGAAGTGGATGAAAGGTAATAAAACATCTGGAGTTGAGAGCTCTAAAAGGATCTGTAAGGGAATTAAAACAGAATTTGGTCATTTGAATACAAAACTGCAATCTTGAAAGTCCTACTCAGCAAATATCTGGACCTAGAAACTTAAACTCTATAGATAACTTGCTTTAGTTTTGGGTTTGTATTTAAAATTTGTATTTAAATTTTATTTTGTTTTTAGAATTTTAGTTCTGAACTTGACTAGAAATGTATCCACCTTGGCAACACTGATTGACTCAGCAGCTTTTCATACTAAAGCCCTTTGGAAAATATGATCCAGATATTTCTAACCTGAGCTTGATGTAATCAAAAAGCATATGCTCTTGAAGCATGCCCTCCAGGTCAACTATGTTCAGTGAAGTTCTGTAAGTTTCTTTCAAAACAGAGAGGAAATAGAGATTAATCAATCAGCAGTAACAGGTCATGAGAACTTTAGGTTGAATTCCAACCTCTGCCCCTGTTTCTTGTCAGTTTTAATCTATATACCAAGAACAAGCCTTCTGTAATAAGCTAAAAGTTATTCTCAAGAAAAATATTCTCAGTGCTTCTTGCTAAAGTTTCCTTTTCGTGCAGCAAAATACTCCACTCAGGGAGAAGGAAGTTGCTTCTCTTGTCTATTTGTTTTAGAGTATCAATCAGAGAGATAAGGCCTGGGTTCAAAGCCAAGATCCAAAATACAAAATATTGAAATAACCATTGGAGCAAGGAATGGAACCTAGTGCTGCATGAGAGTATTCTACATTAAGAGACAGAGTTATGCATTTTCTTTATAGCCCAGTGAATCCAAATTAGTTTCTGCAAAATAAAATAGCTTCAGCTGCAGAAAATGACACTGCCCCATTGCATTTAGTTCATTGTCTTCAGCAGTGGGAGAATTCCTGTTCTAAGCAGAGAAGAAGAAATTAAATTCCCCAACTTCCCATGCTCATATCACCTGAGCAGTTAGAGATACTGTGAACAGCCTCATTTGTTTCCTTCTTTCTGTTGCTATTCTTTAAAGAAACAGTGGCCTTTTCCTCCATGTAGATTCTGTTCACAATTTGAATACTGAAAATGACTTGGTAGCATCCAGGTGACTGACTTAGGAGAAAACACAGCAGTGGAAGCAGTCAGTAGGCATGTGTTCCTGTGATACTAAGGCTTGATACTGACTGAAATGTGATTCATATTTGAGTTTGAAACATTATCTTATAGTCTTTGGAACAAATAAATTCCATTATGGAAATTATTTTCCTAGTTTCTGAGTAACATATTTGCTACTAATTTGTCATTTTTTTATTCCTTCTAACAGCTGGTTCCAAAATATTAGTGAAGGACCCCAGACCAGCTTTGGGAACACCAAGTCCCAAACTAAGTGGTAAGTACTTTGAGGTACATGTGGTTTTAAACAATTTCTCTAGAAAACACAACAAGAATCTATTTAGTGAGACTGCATTGAATGACTTAAAATCAATAAAGAGTATTAGGTTAGGCATTACCTTAACAGAAAAAAAAATTATGAATTAAATTGCATGTGCTCCAGCACCTCAACGTCTTTCTTGTAGTGAGGGGCCCGAAACGAAACACAGCATTCAAGGTGCGGCCTCACCAGTGCCAAGTACAGGGGGATAATCACTTCCACAGTCCTGCTCACCTCACTATTTCTGATACAAGCCAGGATGCTATTGGCCTTCTTGGCCACCTGGACGCACTGCCAGCTCATATTCAGCCAGCTATCCACTAACACCCCCAGGTCATTTTCCACCAGGCAGCTTTCCAGCCACTCTTCCCCAAGCCTGTAACGTTACATGGGGTTGTTGTGATACAAGTACAGGACATGACACTTAGCCTGGTTCAACATCAACTCCTGCCAAACTTGGTGTTGGCTGCAACCTTACGGCACGTGCACTCAATTCCTGTGTCTAGGTCATTGAAAAAGATATTAAACAGAACTGGCCCCAATACTGAGCTGTGGGGAACATCACTTGTGTCCGACCACCAATTGGATTTAACTCCATTCACCACAACTCTTTGGTGCTGACCGTCCTGCCATTTTTTCACCCAGCAAAGAGTGCACCTGTCCAAGTCATAAGCAGCCAGTTTCTCCTGGAGAATGCTGTTGGAAAGGGTGTCAAAGGCTTTACTAATATCTAGGTAGACAATATCCACAGCCTTTCCTTCATCCACTAAGTGGGTCACCTTGTCATAGAAGGAGATGTGGTTAGTTAAGCAGAGCCTGCCTTTCATAAACCCCTACTGACTGGGCCTGATCACCTCGTTGTCCTGTATGTGCAATGTGCTGGCACTCAAGATGATCTGCTCCATAACCTTCCCCAGCACCCAGGTCAGACTGACAAGCCTGTAGTTCCCTGGGTCCTCCTCTGACCCGTCTTGTAGAAGGGTGTCACGTTTGCTAACTTGCTAATTTAAATTGCTTTACATAAATACTTCATTATTAGCCTTCAGCTTAGTCATTAAAAAAAGTTAATTTGAGCCTAGAGAAGGTACTCTCTCTAACTCTGGCTAAAGTTAACTCCAGTTTTAACCGTTTTGCCAAATAAGACTATCTTTGGATGTCCTGACTAGATCCAAGAGAAACGTTTCTCTGTTCACTGAAGAGACTTTTTGAAGGGAGAAGTCTCCTTGACTAAAATTAGCCTTTGATTACAACCTTATGAAATGTCTAACAGGTTCTACACTACTTCAAAACTGTGTTTGCCAATGATGTGCTGCATAGTAGTCATATTACCAGTTTTTTCATTCAGAAACTTTTTGTAAATTGCAATTAATTGTAAACAAAGTACATAAAGATTAGTTTTACATGATATTAGGGAAATAAATTTCAGGCAGATGAACAAATCAACAGTATCAGACTGTTTTCACCATGCTATTTCCTTACTTGCAGTTTGCAGGCCCAGTATCTAGGTATATTGGTTTTATGTGTTTACTTTAAAAAAAAAAAAAGTATGCATATATACCTATACATATACAATTAAAAAACTAGGAAAGATCTTTTATCTTTCATGAGGAAGACAACCTGTCTCTATGACCCATAAACTAAATGATGAAGGAAGACTGTTGGGTGTTCCAGTGTGCCCCAGTCTTAAATTTTGGGATATCTTGAGAGAAAAAGGGGCAAATATTCTTCCGTGTTTATCTGATACGGGATGCCAATGTGCACACAAATCCAGAGCTTTAAATTCAGAGTGAATGACTCCAAATAGTGCCAATTTTACATTGTGGTTATTTGTTATAAGACTAGATTTGACACATTTCCTTTGGAAAGTGTAGTAAATCCATCCTAAGTTATCTTCAATTTAATTGTTTAAATAGTATCTCATGTTAAGATTTTCAAGATTTGTATGTATCTGTTTTTACTGGATAGGTAACTTTTTTTTAACCATACTGTTGCTGGAATAGCATTGCTTAAATTAATCATTTTATAGATGGTTAATGATAAGTATTTAATGTAAGGGTATAAATTTAGGATTTTTATTCTCCCTGCAGTCTTTGATCTCTGTTTAGTTTTAAATTAGAGGATTTCTTTTTTTTTTTCGTAGTGAAGCTCATAATGTTTTTAAGCATTTGAAGACAAAACTTCTTATATAAATTTTTCATTAGAAAAAGTTACTAGATAATAAAGAAGATGCTTACAGTCTTTCAATGTCATTTAAACATGCTTATAAAGATTTTGATATCTATATTAATTTCTGCAAAATTTAATCCTAGCTGTATGTCCCTGTCAGCATAGAAAAAAAATCTGCAATGAGAGGAAACTGATCTTTTCATTACAGCTCTTAAATTAGATTTTGTGAAGTTGGTTTAATTTTAAGACATCTCTGTGTTTGAGGAAAGGAGCAAATGAAGGTACAGTTGCGGTTGTGTTCTACAGTACAAATATATTTCTTTCATTAATGTTCTTGCCAGATTTCTATGCTTTATGTGTGAAGATTATGCTTAATAGAGTTAAAAATAGAGAAGATAAAGAAAATGCTAATGGTTATCATATATTTTGTTGAATACTTGACTTCGTAAGTATTAAATACTGCAGAATGTATTGAAACATGTTTGATGTCTGTATAGTTCCTGACGATGTATTCGCCCAAAATTATATATGGAAAGGATCTTACAATTACAAAAGCAAGAAACAGCCCATGACTTTGACTGTCACCAGTTTCAATGCAACTTCAGGAAGAGTAAATGCGACACTTACAAACAGCAATATGGAATTGCTGCTATCAGGTATGGGACTAGAAAATAATTTCAGTTTAACTTTGTCTACCTTATATGCATTGGTTCCCTGTAACTTTATGTATAACACTTAAACTTTTAACATCTTCTGGAAACTTTCTTGGCTTTTCTAAGAAATTTTAATTCTATTTCAGTGCCTTTTCAAAGGAAGGGATTTTTCCATCTTTATCTTCTCTCCTCTTTTTTAATTTCCCAGGTTTTTATTATATTTGAAGTTAATAGTCAATAAGGAGTGAAAGAATTATCTTACTTCTCATACTTCTTCCATAAATATTATAAATAAACTGAAATTACTGTTCCTGAGATTTTCTAAATTCTTAATCGTACAATTTTCCTTCAATAGCCTATTAATGGCTAATAAGCGGTATGATGAGATTGGTATGTGTTACCTAGCAAGACAGAGATACCGAATCAACATGATGAGCAAGGAGAGATGACACTTGATAGACTAGCTGATATAGTTAAAAAAAAAGTAGCTACTTTTCATGCTGTCGTTTCAGAAGAAGCTCTTGATTGCAAACTTGGTTTATGATATTCCACAGTCCCTGCCACACAAAGCACTGTTGCCATGGTTATTTTGGCACTATACAACACAGTTGTTTATGCTGTGAACCATCAGCAGAAACTACAGATATGGCTTGACGAGCAAGCAAACAGATATACTGTAAAAAGTGTTTGAGTTTATAGATTTTGTTTGTTTTTCAAAATCTTGTGAGTCCCTTGGTTGAGACATCTCAGCCACATAGACAATGGGCCTGTCACACCACACGAGTGACAAGCTATAACACAGGGGTGTGAATAAGCGTAAAAGAAACACCTGAAATCCATATTATAACTCAAAATATAATTTCTTGAAATTCGCCCTCTGTCTACAACACTTTTTACAGGGGCTGAAAAAGCCTAAAAATCGCAGGTATGTATAGGCTGGACACTGCTGGTTTTAGTCTTTTTCGCCACTTAAGGACCTCTTTCTCTGAAGCAGTTTAACATCACCCTTTATCCTAAAGGTGTTATCAAGGACAGAAATGACAGAACATTAACTTGCTGGGAAAAAAAGAGGGGGGAAAAGTTCAGCCCATGACTTTCTGAGAATGGTGGTCTACAGGAAGAATGTAATGGGCCAAAGAATCCATCTCTGTTGAGTTCTTAGTTTCTAGTATTTGGTGGAGTGGTGAATTTTTGTCACTAGGTTTGTCTGTTGAAGTTATTTTGTAGATGTCCTTTGAAGAGTCACGCTTGAGAGGCCATAAATAGACTGAATGTTTCATAGAATATTTTCTGACTGGTAACCATGCTTGTCTTGACTGTCTGTGTTGAATTTACTCTATTGTGTGATGTCTGTTTGTTTCAGCTATGTAATTTCTATGAGAGTATCAGGTGCAGCACATGTAGTATTTCATATTTTTAGAAATGGTAAAAGTAAAAAGCTGTGTTTTCTCATCAAAACAACCTCTTCTTCCAAATAAAAAGGTTTCCTAAATTTGAAACAAAAGTGATTACAAATGCCCTTTTTTTCCTATTTTGCAGGTAGAAAACTGGGATCCTGTATATTGAAAGAGTATCTTAGGGCCAGGGAAGTAGGAATGGATCAAAAAATACATTTAGATGCCAAGAGTCTGATTTCTCCTTTACTCAACTTGTAGTTTTCTGAAATGAAAACTGGTTCTCTCCCCATGCAGCACTTACTGATTTGCATTCCATCATTTGTTGCATCTTTTTTCGCTTCTTTTCATTTTGACACCTGTGCTTGCTGTAATTATAGTATACATGTCTGCCACAGGTTAGAAATAGGCATGTTCTTTTCATCAGATTAGCATGAGTGAAAATAACAATGCTATTACAGAGATTAAAAGAAGAGAAAGGTACAGCTTTTACTTGCTTTTTGGCTCAGATTAAACACTCTCTTGTACACTGAGAAACCAGTTGCCAGCTGTGAGGAAGCACATCAACCTTTCACCAAGAAACGCTTGCGAATCCACCGTTGTAAATTAGTAGAGAACAGTGGTGCCTTGGTCTGTGGGAAATTTGTTCTTTCTATGCTCTTGAGTGTACATACGTAGTATTTATGTCCATGTACACACCCCACAGCCCTCAGCCTCATGCAATTATTTACTAATGTACCTTTAT